ACCCCCCCCCCCCATCCCATCTGTAAGCAAAGCTCCTTGTCTCTATTTTCAGAAAACATCTCCAAATCTGAAACTTCTCACCACCTCCACCGTATCAACCCTCTAGGCCACCCTTCAGCCCTTGTCTCCACAGCTTCTTTTCTACACCTGAAGGATCCAAGCTTAAGGGATCCTGTTAAACCCAACTCAAGTCCCAAGGCTCCCTATCTCTCTAGGAGTAAAGACAGTCATTTTGGTGGCCCAAAGTCCTCCAAGATGTGGTCCCTCATTACCTTTCTGTTGTCATATCCTGCTCCTTACCTTTTTGCTCTCTCAAACCCAGCCACACTGTCCTCTTTGCAGTTCCTCAAAGCTTTCTGACACAACCAACTGAGGCACACACTGTTGTCTCTGCCTTGAGTGGTCTTTCTGTAGGTATCTGTGTGGTTTGCTTCTTTACCTCCTTCAGAGCTTTCTCAGATGTTACCTTCTCAGTGTGACCTTCCTAGCCAGATAAACTTGCAACCTCATTCTCAGACACCCTGACCCTTTTTCCTCCTGTTTTATTTATTTTTTTCTCCATAGCACTGATCATCATCAAACACGGTATACTTTACTTATTTTGTTTACTTTTTGCCTCCTCTCACCAGTTTATGGGCCTCACTAGGAGAGATATCTTTCTCTATTCTGTTCACTGATGTAGATCAAGAACCTAGAACAGTGCTTGGCACATAGTAGGTGCTCAGTAAATGTTTGTTGAATGATTGCATTGTGAGGGAAAGTGAGATGATACACAAGAAAAAATTATTCTGCATATGTTGTAAAGCTAGACACAAAGGCTGGTTATTACAAGTTTTATCATTGTGTGTGTGTGTGTGTGTGTGTGTGTGTGTGCAGGCACACGTGTGTGTATAAGAAGATATCAGTGTGCTCAGGGTATGGAGGGTTCATTTATCATTTCCATTAACATCCTTCTCAGCAAATATTGACTTTCCAACCTCTTTTCATGGTGTTTGTGTAGAAAGTCTGCTTTAACCTTGCCAGCCAACCAAGCACTGTAATGATAACTGCCTCTTTCTGGTGTGTGTGCACGCAGGTGTGTGTGTGTGTGTGTGTGTGTGTGTGTGTGTGTGTGTGTTTGGCCACTGTCTGGCTTCTCAACCCCACAAGCACCTTCAATGGGCACTTGCACCCATGCTGAGGTGGCTGGATGCTAGTGCAGGCTGCACCCAAGAGAGTGATGCCTTCCCTGATCTTACCAAGTTAAGACAGTGAAGATACAGTGGACACAGCTTAGACTCCAGAGCCAGATGACTCTGGGTTCAAATTTGAGCACCATCAATTTTAAATGGAGTGTCTGTGGGAGGAAATAACTGAAATTCTCTGAGCTCCAGCTTTGTCACCTGTACAGGGAGATTATAATTCCTCTCTCATGGACTTTCTGGGAAGGTGATACAAGTACGTGCAAGTGGACATGCCTCACAAACTAGAACGTGCCAAATGCAGAGAGTAGAGTTTTCATTCCTCCATCTAAGAATGGGGACCTGATTCAGGATGTTGAATCTTTCAAATGAGAGCAAGGTAGTTTGCCTGAAGTTCTTCTGAGGGAACCAGTAGTTGGGTTGCCCGTGGGGCTGAGCAGCACATCAGGGGAAGGGAGTCACCATTCATAGAGTGCTCCCTGGTGCTGGCCACTAGGCTGAGCACACTAGATTCTTGGGTTCAGCCAATGTACACAACAGTGCTGTGAGCTAAGTACTACTACCATTGCCATTTTAGAAATGAGAATGCTAAGGCTTAGAGAGGTGAACTGATTTGCTTGAGGCTGCAAAACTACACCTGGTGAAGTAGGGACTTCACCCCCAACCTGCCATGATTCCAGAGCCTGCATTGTTTGTCTGCCACAAGGAGTCAGCCAGACCAGGGAGGGGGGTTTGGGGGGGTCAGGAAGGGAGGAGGCAGAAGGGTGTGGACAAGCAGACTCCTACCTCAGGGACAGTGTCTTAGGAGGAACGCAGACAGTGTTAGAAACCCCCAAAGCAATTTTTTAACCCTAGGAAAATGGTCTATAGTTTGGGATGGCATGCTCAGTGTGGGGGCAGCAGAAGGAAATCTGTCAGGGTCACCCCTCTTTCTGCCTGGGACACCTTACATTGGTCATAGAATCTCAGCAAAAACCAGGTTGGGGTGCCTTTAGAAATCTCTGAGACCCACTGCTCATTTGAATTCTCTGGGGATTCAGCCACACAAGCCTGAGTCCACCCCCAGAGATTCAGATATCACAGGATTTGGGTAGGGCCTGGGCAAATGGATTTTCTTAGATCTCCAGTTCATTTGAATGCTCCCACTTAATAAATCCTCCCTTGTCCCACACTCTACACACACCATTTTAAAGTTGGAGAAGCAGAGGCCCAGAAAGAGGACACAGCCTGGAACTCAGGTCTCTGGCTCTTGTTAGGGCTCAGCCATATGAGAATACCTTTCCCAGGATGCCAGTGAGGTAGGTAAGAGGGTTTTCAGAGCTGCTGGGAGTGGGAAAACAACAGTCTGATTGACTGGAAGCTAAAAGCCCAGTAGTGTGCTGGCCCTCTCTTCCTCCATTCAAGCCTTTGGGCACATGGCCACTCCCTCTGCAGCTAGCCAAAGGATCAGGAGCCCTGGGTTTGGGTCTCACCTCTGCCACTAACTCCTTTTGGACCTCAGGCAGGTACCTTTCCCTCTCTAGGCCTCAGTGTTATCCATCTACAAAATGAAATTAGACTAAATGTCTCCTAAAATAAAATCTCTTCCAGCTTTGACATACTTTGGTTTTAGAAAAGATAGCATTCAGGGATCTGGGCTGTGATCCCAACTCTGCATTTGACATGCTTGAGCCACAGCTTCTTACTCTGCAGAATGGGAATCACTGCCACCTCAGCCACACTCTTTGTTCTTTCTAGGTCTATGTTTTCCTTTCCTTAAACTAAAGTGTGTGGGGACAGGGAATGGTCTCTATTCAGGAGGCTCGGGAGGTTCTTATGCTTGTTCTAACTGGCTGCTCCAGCTCTAGTGAGCCCCAGAACAGGGTCAGAGGGAGTTGAGCTTTGGGGCAAGTGGTTCTTGCAAGGGTGGAGGGAGATCTTCTGCAACCAGGCCTTATCTCTCCACTTCCAGTGGTCATCAGTAGGGCTGTGGGGCCTCCAGCTGACACAGCCCTCCAAGTCTCCTCAGAGTCACTCTTACAGCCAGTTCTCAGTGATGTGAGAAGAAAGGGAGCTGTCAAGTCAGGGAGCCAGCCTGGAGGCAGGAGCAGAGAGGCTACAAGGCCTGAAACTTGGAAGGTTGGAGCTCCTGTCCAGCTCCAGTGAGGAGGAGTGTAGGGCCAGCCTGTGGGGGGTGAAGGAGTGGGGCCTGAGGGGCAGAAATCCAGGAGGGTGCCTCTTTGACTTCTCTGGACAGCAGTTACAATAGCTACCCTTTCTCCAAGGTCTTCTGTGAGCTGGGTGATCTGTCCATGTGATAACACTGAGTTCCCATCAACCCTGGGAGCAAGCCACCCTCATTTATTCCTACATTACACATATTGCAGACTAGGCTGCTGAGGCACAGAGAGGGAAGGGACTTGCCCAAAGCCACACAGTGAGTATGGCAGTCTGGACTGGAACGCAGGCAAATTGATTGTTGAGCCACTGTTATCTTCATCCCACCCAATGACCTCCAGGAATAGCAAGAACACCAAGGTAGTGCTTCATATGTGTCAGACACTTTTCTTTTTCTTTCTTTCCTTACTTTTTAAAATTTGACTAATCCTCACCTGAAGATATGTTTTTCATTGATTTTTTTTAGAGAGAGTGGAAGGGAGGAGGAGAAATAGAGAGAGAGAAACACTGATGTGAGAGAGACACATAAATTGGTCACTTCCTGCATGCACCCCACCTGGGCCGGGGATTGACTCACAACCGAGGTACGCATGCCCTTGACTGGAATCAAACCTGAGACCCTTCAGTCTACAGGCCAACGTTCTAACCACTGAGTCAAACTGGCTAGGGCTATGTGTCAGACACTTTTCTAAGTGTTTCATATGTGTGTGTGTGTGTGTGTGTGTGTGTGTATGTATATATGTATTATGTATTATCTGTACAATACTACGATGAAGTACAGATGAGGAAACTGAGGCTTAGTGTGTTCAAGTAGTTTATCTAGAGTTACAAGTTAATACATGGAGGAGTCAGGTCTCACAATCCATGCTGTACAGAAGGAAGCTTAATCCATACATACACACATTGCCTTACTCACCCCACACCTTGCACACCTTAGTCTGGGCTCTTGCTCTTCCCTTAGTAACTGTTTACAATTGGGTGGCCTTGGACAATAAATCACTTCACCCTCATTTCTCTAGGCCTTGGTTTCTCCCTAGAAAATGGGGTGACTGGACCAAGTGAACTGTAAAGACTTTCTCTGCTTTGCCATATCATTAATCCTAGACTTCACTCTTCTTTCCTCCACCCTCTCTTTTTCTAGGAGTTAGTAGTGGCTCAAGCCTGGGATTTCCAGGGACCAAGAAAATTTAGTCCAACCAGGCCTAGGCCTTAAAAGTGGTTTACATGATAGAGGAGTGGAATTGTGGCCTACCAGACTCCAACTCCCATTCACCTTACCTGTCAGCCCACCTTCCAGGATCCCAGCCTCTAGACCCAGTTTTCTGAGCCCTTTTCTTCCAGATGCCCAACACCTTAGCTCCCCAGCTCTGTCTTCAGTTGTGATTCATTGTTGTACCTGGAACCTGGAGCCAGCAGCTCTCTTGGCCATAGTGACCCTTCCCTTCCCTGAGCTGCTAACAGTGACGGCAGTAACTAACACACAAGAATGTACTCATTGCCACGAGAGGAACATTCTGGCCACAGCACAAAGAACACTCTCTGGCTGAAGAATGACAAAATACAACCTTGGAGCCCAACTTGGCCACATCCTAGACGTTTAGCTCTGGACAAGTTCCTAAACTTCTCTGCACTTCAGCTTTCTCATCACTACAATGAAAAACATGAATACAATCTCCCTGAGCTGCTGGAAGGATTTAGTGTTATAGTAATAAGACCATGTCAGAGTACATTGCTTACACTGAAGTAGTAGGAGGTCAACAAATAAGATTTAATTTTGAATCTCACATCTGTATGATCTTAGGCAAGTCAATGAATCTCAGTTTTCTGAGCTCAGAAAAAAGTATAAAAATTCTTGTCAATTGAGATTTTTATAAGGAAACAATGAGATAATGAATGTAAAATTCCTAGCATGGTGTATGGCAGAGGCTAGAGGATCAAAAAATTAGGAAGAGAGTGGACTTTTTCAATTCGATAAATACCATTTATGAAATCGTACATCTGACATTATACTTGATGGTGAAAGAGAGAATGCTTTTCACCCTAGATTGGGCAAAAGGCAAGAATTTCCACTCTCATTACTCTTATTCCAAAATGGTGATGGAAATTCTAGTCAGTGCAATGAAGAAATAAATGAAAAAGGAAAAGAAAGTAAAAGAAAAAAGAAAAGCCATACAGATTGGAACAGAAGAAATAAAATGTTTCTCATTTGCATATGACATAATTGCTTACATAGAAAATCCTAAGACATCTACAAGAAAATCTCCTAGAACTAATAAGTAAGTTCATCAAGGTCACAGGATACAAGATATACATACAAAAAATAATTGTATTTCTATGTACTAGCAATGAACATGTGAACACCAAAATTTTAAATGCAATGACATTTATAATATCTCCAAAAAAAGAAATAATTAAGTGTAAATGTAATGAAACATATTGGACTTATATACTGAAAATGAAAAAAATGCTGATGAAAGTAATAAAAAAAAAGATGAGACATACATAAATGTTCATGGAATGAAGGCCTCAACATAGTAAAGATGTCAGTTCTCTCCAAACTGATATATAGGTTTAATGCAATTCTTATCAAAATTCCAGAAAGCTTTCTTTGTAGCTATGGACAAGATTATTCTAAGATTTACATGAAAAGGCAAAGGAACTATAATAGCTAAAACAGTTTTGAAAAAGAAAAATACAGTGTGAGGAATCACCATACCTGATTTTAAGACTTATTCTATAGCTACCATAATCAAGACTGTGCAGTATAGTCAGGAGATATATATAGATAAATGAAAGGGAATAGAGAGCTAAGAAACAAATCCACACCAAATACATCCAATTGAGTTTTGACAAAGGTGCAAAAGCATCTCAGTGGAGGAAAGACAGTCTTTTCAACAAACAGTGCTGGAGCAATTAGACATTCATAGGCAAAAAGATGAACCTCACCTTAAACTTCATACCTTACACAAAATTTAACTCAATGAATCAATCACACATTTAAATACAAAACATAAAAGTATAGATCATTTAGAAGAAAATAAGAAAAAATAAGAAAACATGGAAAAAATCTTCAGGATTCAAATATTGGTGAAACATTTTTAGTTATGACACCAAAAGCATGATCCATAAAAGAAAAAAAAAAGAGTAAATTTGACATTACTGAATTAAATACTTTTGCTATTTGATGAAAATTCCCAGACAACCAAAAGCTAAAAGAGTTCATCACTAAAAACCAGTATTACAAAAAATGTTAAAGGGACTTCTTAGGAGGAGAAGGAGAAGGAGAAGGAGGAGAAGAAAAGATAAAATATGAATGATAAATGGCAATAACTACATGCCTATCAACAACTACTTTAACTTTAAATGTATTAAATGCTCCAATCAAAAGACACAGGGTGGCTGAATAGATAAGGAAACAAGACCCATACATATGCTGCCTATAAGAGACCTACTTCAGGTAAAACAACAAAAAACACACACAGACTGAAAGTAAAGGGATGGAAAAAATACTTCATGCAAATGGAAACAAAAAAAGCTGGGGCAACAATACTTATATCAAACAAAACAGACTTTAAAACAAAAGCTATAACAAGAGACAAGGAAGGATCCAGCAATTCCACTTCTGGGTAACTATCCAAAGAACCTCAAAACACTAATTTGAAAAGACATATGCGCCCCTATGTTCATTGCAGCATTATTTGCAATAGCCAAGATATGGAAGCAACCTAAGTATCCATTAATAGATGAATGGATAAAGAAGAGATACATATATACAATGAAATATTACTCAGCCATATAAAGAATGAAATCTTGCCCTTTGCAACAATATGGTGGGCCTAGAAGGTGTTATTATGCTAGGTGAAATAAGTCAGAGAAGACAAATGCCAGATGAGTTCATTTATACGTGAAATCTAAAAAACAAAATAAATGAACAAGCAAAACAGAAACAAACTCATAGATACAGAAAATATTTTGATGGTTGCCAAATGGGAGGGAGGTTGGGGGAATAGGTGAAATGGGGAAGGGATTAAAAAGTACAAACTGCCAGTTATAAAAACATTCACAGGGATACAAACTGCAGCATAGGGAATATAGTCAATAATATTCTAATTACTATGTATGGTGCCAGGTGGATACTAGACTTATCAAGGTGATCACTTTATAAGTTCCATAAATCTCTAATTACTATGTTGTACATATTGAATGTGAACTGTAAGTGAAAAATAACAAAAAATATTTTTTAAATGGATGAAAAGACAAACTACAAACTGGGAGAAAATATTTGTAGACCATGTATTTGACACAGGACTTATATCTAGAATGTACAAAGAGCTCTTAAGACTCAACAGTAAAGCAAAACAAGACAAAACAACTTGATTAGAAAATGGGCAGAAGTCATGAGGAAGCATTTCACTAAAGAGGATATAGATGGCAAATAAGCACATGAAAAGTTAGTCAACAACATTAATGCAAATTAATGCAAATTAAAATTAAAAACAATGCGATGTCACTACATAACTACCCAATGGCTAAAATTAAAAAAAAAAAAAAAAAAAAGCCAACACCAAATGCTAATGCTAGCAAAGGCACAGAGAAACTGGATACATTGGTTGTGGGAATGTAATATGGCACAATCACTCTGCAAAACAGTTTGGCAGTTTCCTATAAAACTAAAAATTCCAGTGCCATTTGACTGAGCAATTGCACTTTTGGATATTTCTATTAGAGAATTTAAAACTAACGTTCACACAGAAATTTGTACATGAATGTTTGAGCAGCTTTCTTTGTAATAGCCCCAATCTGAGAACAGCCCAGATGTCCTTCAATGGATGAATGGTTAAACAAATTGTGGTACATTCATACCATAGAATACTACTCAGTAACAAAAAGGAACAAACTACTGACACAAGCAACAGCTTGGATGAATCTCCAGAGAATTATGCTCACTGAAAAAGCCAATCCCATATGGCTACATACTGTATGATTCTATTATATAAACTTCTTGAAATGACAAAATTATGGAAATGGAGAACAGATTAGTGGTTGCCAGGGGTTAAGGAGGATGTAGGGTGGGAGGGAAATGGGTGTGACTATGAAAGGGCAACAGGAGGGATTCTTGTGGGTATGTTCTGCATCTTGACTGTTTCAATGTCAGTGTCCTAGTTGTGATAATATACCATATTTTTGCAAGATGTTTCCATTGGGAGAAACTGGGTAAAGGGTACAGAGGACCTCCCTGTATTATTTCTTACAACTGCATGTGAATCTACAATCACCACAAAATGAAAACAAAAGTTTAATTTCAAAAATCAGCAAATTGAATTCAACAATATATTAAAAGAATAATTAATCATGACCAAGTGAATTTTAATCTAGAAATTCAAGGGTGATTTAACAATAAAAATTCAATCAATTCACCTAACCTGATAAAGGATAAAAATATCATGATAGATGCATAAAAAGCATTATACAAAATTCAACACCCATTCATGATAAAACTCTCAGCACTCTAAGAATAAGAGGGAGCTTCATCAACTTGATGAAAGGCGTTTATAAGAAACCTTTAGCAAACAACATACTTGATAGTGAAATATTGAAAGTTTTCATACACAGAGACTGAGTATAAGACAAGGATGCCTACTCTCACCATTCTATTCAACATTGTACTGAAGGTCCTACTCAGTGTAATATGGCCGGCAAAAGAAATCAAAGATTTTAAAGAAGTGAAATTGCCATTAGTTTGTCTATAACTTATTCTGGACTTTCTACATACATAATCATGTAAAATTGCATTTAAAGTCCAGAATTACATAGAAAGTCCAGAATAATCTATAGAAAAACTATTAGGACTGATGACTGAATTTAGAAAGGCCAGTGAATATATGCAAATATCAATTGTATTTCTATATATTAGAAAAAATAGAGAAAGTAAGTTTAAAAATCCCTATTATTTGAATGGCATAAAAATAAAATCCTTAGGAATAAATCTAATGAAAGATGTGGAAAGCCTTTACGCTCAAAACTAAAAAGAAAAAAAACATAAGGAGAGAAATTGAAGAAGACTTACGTAAATTAAGGGATAAAGTATATTCACAGATTAGAAAACTCAATATTATAGAGATATCAATTCTCCCTCAAATTAATCTACAGAGCCAATGTGATCTCATTTTAAAATCTCAGCTTTTTTATGTGGTGGAAACTGACAAATTGATTCTAAAATTCAGATGGGAATGCAAAGGGCCAAGAATAGCCCATTTAATCTTGAAGAACATAGCTAGAGGACTCTTAGTAACAGATATCA